CAAACCGCGGTTAACCGACGGTTTTAATAAAAAAGAAGCGACATGGGAGGGCAATCTAATGACTATTAAATCTATCTATGGACAAAATTTCATGGTCAAAATACTTTGTTCTGCTCTTTTTGAAAATGTTTTGTTCTCAGTAAAAATTCCAATAAAACTGTCCTAACTGTTCGTCAATAAACTATGGGCATGAGTTCGTTTAGGTCCGTTTTAGTCGAATAGTGTCCGACAGTAAAATATATTTTCTCGTTAGATGTAGGTACATATGCACATGTTAAATCTATGACAAGTTCTACTCTATTTATAAAGATATACCTTCGAAGAGGATTAACGATCTCTTATCCTCAAAATTTTGGTAATTTTAATAAACAGAAATCGAAATCAATCGCTTATTGAAAATTGCTCGACATTTCCCTATGTGATCACATTCACAAAGAAAACCAAAAATAAGAAAATTTTTTTTATTTTATTAATTAGACTCGTCAACGCCGAGAAATTGACATTAGTGAAGATGATGTTCTAATATCTGAGGATAGAAGCTGTATGTTCTATGCCGATAAATTATATTGGGGAGATGCTCATGAACAAGAATCTTCAGCTGGAAATTTTACACTTGATCTAGATAGAAGTTCATGTACACAAGATCAAAATGTAACATCAGGTGGAAATATGACTTCAGTTGTGTACGTTTTTATTTAAAAAGAAACTTGAACAGCATTCATTTTATCTTTCTATTTAGTCTTGATTTATATTGGGATGATGGAACAAATGATACAGTTGCTATGACGTATATTTATCAAATTAAATTCAATTTTTTCATTTAAAATTTAAAAATATTTTTCTTTTTTAGTTTAATTGCAAAAGTAACTGATCGTTATTGGTATTTAGAAAAAGCAATAATGAACGGTTCTGAATATCGTTATTTTGCTTATGGTATGCATAGTCAAATGGAAACACCATCAACTTATTCATATGTATGTAAGACTGCCGTATTTGTTAAATATGATTCTGCACCACGATATGGTTTATATGATTTTGAAAATAAATTCTTTTTAACAAATATACAAGTAAACGAATTACTAAACAATTGTTAAATTTTAATTTTC